AACACTATCCCAAAAAGCTAAGAAAAGAACAGAGCAAACAGAAAACAAAGTCGAAGAGAACTCCGAGCGCAAGAAAACCAACGCCTATGCTAGAGCCAATGGATGAATCTGGTAAGTTTCCATTCCTAGAGAATTCTGGTAAGTTTCCATTAAAGGAAGGTTGTTACTTGGCGCCAACACTAATGGATCCAGTTTTGAATTTCGTGAAGAAAGTCTGAAAAGTGTGAGCACCCACCAAGGGGGAGTTCCTCTCTCTAGACAGAGAGAAAAAAACTCTCATAAAGAGAGACCCATTATATTGCAGTATAGATTGTTAACAATTGATAACTATAATCCATTTCTTAAATTGCATTTTTTGTATGAAGAAAGTTTATCCTTTAGCCAAAAAAAAAAATATTGTGATCATGAATTTGCCCCAACAAGATTCTGACATGCTGTTGTTAGGAGACAATTCGAGCAATGGAAGTATTTCCTATCAGCCAACCGGTGGTTTTATTTTCTCATTTTTTATGTGTTACAAACGCAAGAAGGCCATTGGCTTCGTTACACGCGCGTTTAATATTAGTCTCATAATGGCTCTTCATGAAAAAAAAAAATGATAAGTCTGAAATTTTTATGCGTAAATGTTGAATCCGTGGATTGTAATGCTTGTATATAGATATATAACACAACCACTCTTAACTTGTTATGAAATTAATGAAATAATAAATGTGAGTGTTCATTCATTTCTCAAGAGATATATTGAAACATTCATCCCTACAAGGTATATTAATACGTTTATGCACCTTCTCGTCATTCATTAATTCATTACGAAACTACTAAATTCATGTATTTATATTAATATTGGTACATAAACCTTTGATCTTGTTTTATTTGTAACCTTTGGAAGAATATACCAACGAATGATGTTAATATCTTTCTCTTATTTTCTTGTCTCTATCTTTCTTTACTTCATTTATTAGTTTACTAGTGATAAACGCACACTCGAGTTGTGTACCATAAAGAAATGCATACTATTTATGGTAAATGAATTTTACATACAAATTTTTGTTATTAAAAAAAATCTTAATCTTCTAAATCATTTTGACTAAATGATTGTTATGTTGGTAGTTACTACTTTGGGTGGTTACATTGAAATGAACATGTTTACATAGTAAATTAAGAAATGCTTATAAGTAATTATCTTGACAACATGTGTTTGGATAATTAAAATTAATTTTTATAAGGGTAAAAATAAAAGTACATAAAGTAACAATAAAATGAATGTGTACATTAAACCCTTCCTCTCCCTTTATGTATAGTGTAGATACTTTATTAGTTTCACAACTAGCCATTATATTTTATAGATATATTTCTAGTATACCACTTTACCCCCTCTCCCCTTGATTTTTGGACACTTTCACAAATCTATCTTTAAAATCTTAAGTGATACAAACTAACAACTGAAAAGTTTTGTATATGTCAATAATTTCCAAAATTACACTATTAGAATCCTAGTTTACTAATATTAACTACAAACTGAATATTGGCCGTTTGCAGAGAGGATCATAGAGTTTATTGTCAAAATAACTCTTCTTTTGAAATATAAGCCCAAAGTAACCTAATTTTAAAATTTATTACCTTTATAATTCTTTTTTTTTCCACATAGGTTGCATATGTGGTAGGATAGAGATAGAGGCACATACTATCTCTCTTTCCCAACTAATATCTTCCTTGATTCTCTCTCTGAACCTTTCCACTTTTTTTTTCCTTTATTATTTTTTGTCCTTTCGTTATTTTTCCTTGTCAAATGTAATTGTTAAAAGCCAATATTTATATTAACAACATCTAAAACTTCATTATCATTCCTAATGTTGTATCTGTAGATGAAAATATTCTCTTCGAATTGATAATTTCAAGGTAAATGAAGATTATTCTCTTGTTTTTTCTGTTGTGCAATTTTTGGAACATTCTTATGGCCTTCAAAAAATTTTGAATACTAATTGCTTTAACAAATGATTTCTCACACCATGTGTTTGACAAAATGTCTAAGAGGAAAACTATGTAACAACATAAATTCATGCTCAGTATAAGCATGTTCATTTGTAGTGCCTCTCTACCACACAATCAAATAATCTCATTTACTTGAAGTATTTTTGCATATTTATTCAATATCAATTAATGGCTTGTGTTACTTTTGAGAAACTTTAGCATTATCTTAATTGCAATAGTTTGATTACTTTTTTGTAAAAGTTCTTTTCAAGGAGTAGGGAGCATAACATAAACAAATATGATAGCCTTGAAGTTTTTTTTAACTTTTTCTTGTTATTGTTTATACTGTTCATTGCAATTTTTGTATTTTGCAAATTTATTTTTGAAAAAAAATATGCAATAAGTTTGATACATTTAAAAAAATTGCAGAGAGCAATAATAGCAAGGTCAATAATGGTGAAATTTATTTTAAATAATTATAAGGAAATTATCACAAAATTATGCAATTTTCTTGTGCCTCTATAATAAAACAATTTAAATTTTTAGTTTTATTGGAAACTATAAATTAGATTAAAACTTTCCTTTCTTGTTATCTTACATGGCAATCAGGGTAATTAGGTGGCAACAATAACATCGATTTGGGAATAAAATTTGAAAGTAAATCACGTTGGGAATATTTTTTAGAAAGAGTATTATTTTGACAAAAAACTCGAGGATCATATGGGTAAATGTTCAAGCATTCCGCAGATGGGAGATCCGTGTCTGACTATGTGAGGAATTGAGTGTCGTCCAAACCTTGATACATATTACTACATATCTTAATCGTCAGTTCGTTCGAACGTTGAGTTCTGAGCTTAAGTATGAATGCGCACATTCAGCCACAGTCCATATACTATAAAAGAATTGCATACAGTAGCAATCTAGCTAGAGGGCTCTTTTATGAAACTGTGGCAGAAAGAAAACTTAGCACGTTCCTTTGGTCTTCTCATGTGTTTGCTTAACAGCTCAAGGGGTACGGTGATCATCAAGTCAAAGAAACCAAAACTATAGCAACAATGTTTACTAATGAAAGGATGAAACGGTTCAACAGTCAAGTCAGTCAAGATCTTTTGATTCTTCGGAAAGATTAGGAAAGACTTTTAACAACTCAAAACATTAAATGAATGGTAAGAAAACACGACTTATCACCATTCATGTAGCATTATTGAGTTTCGTGATGTTTCATGTATCTACAGGGTAAGGCAATCAAGCAGGCGACGCATGTGACATTAATAGCTGGTACATTGGTCATTTGCATGCGTCTTGTAATAGGTTTCAAGCCTGGCTGCAACTCGTCAGTCTGGTTCAGTGTTTGCTTCATAATTTTCTTGCTTTCTTAGTCGGTCAGTCGGTTGCGATTCTCTGGCTGTTGATGTCTCGTTTCGCTCAAGTTTTCTTGATGTTCAATCTCCTCTATATCTGTATTGTACTATTGTTGCAAGCTAGGTTAAAAAGAAAAAAAAAGCGAGATTTGGGTTGAATAAAAGATATCGTAGTTCCTTTGGATGTAGTATATTCTTTTGGAGTTGAAAAAATTTTACTATAATTATTTTAGTAAAAAAGATTAGGCGTTCGTCCAAAACACCCAATACCCCCTTCTCCCTTGCCTCATCACCCGCTCTCTACCACCGGCAACTTTCGCCATCCACCACAACTAGCTACTGCCACCCGCGTCCGCCACCAGTGCGTACTTTATTTAGTGTGTTATTGTAGACAGTATTTTACCAAATCCACTTTTCCAAAACAAACCTAAAACAGGGCTGCAAACAGACTTTGTTCGCCTATAGTGTATTTGTTCTTTTCACAGCTTTAACCTTCCCTCAAACTTTCTTGCGCGTTGACTTATTTGTATGTCCAAAATATGTAAGTTTAAAAATTCCCAACAGAAAGCAAGGAAATTTCCACCGTAAAGACAGAAATGGTAAAGAGAAAAATCAGTTTTTCACTTGTCCTAAGGGTATAATGAGTTGTTAAACAAACTAAATTATCAAAGGAGACACAATCATGTTATTCAGAAATTTAAGCTCGTGAGAGACAACCAAAGTGGCCCTTATTCTTGTGCTCATGAAAGAGACGACAGGTAACCCATCATTTCAATTATCCTGGGCAATAAGTCCAGCGACAAATCAATAGCGATACTCAGTACAAGGCCAGAAAGTAGAATTTTGCGATACCACCATGAGGGTTGATGAGCCACATTCATGCTGCTGTATATTATCTTTTTACGGCATTTCAAACAGTAGATGCTAACCAGACTGGCTGCAAATTCAAATCACTTTACCTACGTTAAAGGTAAACTTAAATACCAATAGTAAAACCTTATACGAAGAAAACAGAAGAACCATGCAACCAATTTATGCAGAAGTATACTGTCTGGCAATTTTTCTAGTTTGAGTTAACTGGGAACATGTTTTACTGTTTCAAGGGACACTTTTCAGGACAAATTCAAATACATCCTTTAATGCGATGAGACGCCAAGACAAGACGAGAAGTAACTCAAGTGCAAAATGAGGTCTGGCTAAGGTCCAAACGATGTTCGCTAGATTAATGCAAAGTTCTGAGCTAGACATTCGTCAAGATGAAGGTTCTGAGCTAGAGATTCATCAAGATGAAGTCAGTTGGTACTCAAACAAAATCAAAATTTTGGAAGAAAACATCAAGCTTGTCTGTTATATATGCTCCATCCTAGCTATTTGATCATGAGGAGGGATATACGGTGGCCAAGATGATTTATCCCTTCACTTACTTGAAGGAACCAATATAAGAGGGAGGGAACAAATTAAATTCATGTCAAAAAGAGGAATAAAGAGTCCATCTGTTTTGGTGTTTACTAGATAAGGTCTCAGTTAAAGGGACTTCAAACCCTATCAATGAAGATAACGATAGCTCCCTCATGACGGATCCCGAAAAACTATTGATCTTGCAAGATGGATCTTGCAAAATTTAATTTATACAACAGACAATCCAGGCATCATCGATGACAATAGAAATATTCCCTCAAACTGAAACTTCAAATACAAATAATTTATTTCATAAACGTATAAGCAAAACTCCAACTCTTTGATGCTTTTATTACGTTGCACCAATGATTTTTTTTTTTTAGCAAAAATCACACCAAAATAACACAAGGGAAACCATGGGCATTATCTTAAAACTAAAAGCAACAATTCACATGCTATAGCATTATTAAACCATCTGCTTCAGTCATCTCTATCCAAGCAAACCTATACCTACCTCAAACATCTTTGATCGATTCAAATTCATTAAACTTGTACACAGATCTGGCAAACAGTCGGACCGATTCGCTTCCATTCCCAATAGGTGAGAGAGAAGAGTAGACAAGAAGAAGAACAAGAAACAGAGGTATACATGTTGTTTCAGCCAAGCTTTCATTCATCGCCAAGCTGGATGTAGAAAATAGGGTTTCTTTTCTTCTTCCCTGGTGAACTCATCATCATGGATCATCTTCACCTCTGACCCGTCTCTCTTTTCTTCTTTCTCTTTTTAGTTCTGACCTTTGAAGTTTTTAAGGGTCTTTGTTGGGTTTGTGAATGGTAACAAGAGGTGGTGGTGGTGGTGGTCTGATGATGATGAAAGTGAGGGATTAATGATGAGATAAAGAGGTTATAAGAGGACACCATGATGATTGCTGGCAGGTGTTTTTCCGCGTCAAGAGTGGAGGTCCAAGGTTACCTATAATCTTCCAAGGGTATCAAAAGTGAAGCTAATTTGCAGGAAAATTTTCGTCTAAAAACCCAAGAAAACGTTACCTTTCTTACACATGCCAAGCTCTTTCTCAACCATGGAGAGAGAAAGAAGGGGAGGGAGACATCTCTCTTTTCATTCTATCTTTTCGTGGACTTACATATATTCTTTTCCTTTGCTTTAGTCCTTTACTCTCAAACCACAACCTCCTCCCTTCTCTCTCTCTCTTTCTCTCTCTCCCTCCCTCCTCCCTCCCCCGGGGGGGAGGGCCAACGTTTTCTTTCGTGTAATAAGCATTTGTAATTTGGTGATGAAGCAATCTCTCAAACGATACGCGTATAGTTCTGTTTTCTTGATGTATTCTCCTTCGAATGGGTGATAGTGGACAGTAATAGTGGACACTAATCCATCAAGAAAGCTTGTATTTCTTCCACAGGTGGATTATATTATGCATTTGCCATCGACTGAAGTGTATGCAATTTTATTTAACAGAACGGATTTAAAATATTAAAGGATGGAAAATTTTTATAATCTCTGTATCCTTTTTATAAGGTGTATAATTTTAATGCCAATGTACTCTAAAATAGTTTCTCGAACATGGAAATTTTTTTTTTCCTTATTCGCGTATTGTACAAGTTACGATATTTGAAGCAATTAAAAACTGATGAACAGTTTAGCGTACTCCAAAACAATTTGACAATACTTGGACTATAACGGAACACAGGGATGTACAAGAACAAATCATAATACTCTACCCCCACTCAAATTTGGTACAGCAATAAATAATTGGTTTGATTCAAGGTATTTGGATTAGAACATTTTGATGCGCACCTGAAAATTGTTGTTTCTAAAAGAATGGTCAGAAACAGATTGAGAGTGTAACAGTTTTACTGTTAACCCGTAGTAGATTTTCTCGAGAAACCTCGTGGCAGAGTTATCTAAGTCTAATGCGAAATTAATTACGCAACAATATTGACTAATGACTGTCATTTGGTGGCAAAGAAGTAATTAGATAAGACGACGCGGGTAATTAAGTTGACAAAAATGGCATTAGACTGGCGTCATTTCTGCGTTATGCACAAGGCGTGTGTCATGCAATACAACTAATCCGACATATTAATCTTTGCTTATCCTAGATCGAGAAAAAGTATGAAGTAGCTTGTAGCTAGGTTACTGACGGATTTATCCCATTGACTTGCGTACCACAAATAAATAACTCGAGGTCGAGGGGAGTAATGTGTTCGAACAATTAAAGATAAAAAAAAAATTACTAATCCTATTATCCATTCGAATAATTTACTATGCATATGCAATTACAACTTGCAAGCAGTACTATAAAACAAGAATGCATTTGGAAGTTAAAAAGGTGAAAGGAAAGAAAACTGAGGAACTTGTGCAGGAGCTTGGGGATGCAGAAGTTGTAGAAGGTCAAAGGCTCAAAGGATATATAACCTTTTGTTGTGGGAGCCTCTTTTAGTCCAAGTACACTACATTAAAGGATCATCAATCAATGATCCTCCAATAGATATGATAAGCTTCCAATAGAGAATCCTGTTTTTTTTTCATGCCTGTCGATTAACTTTTTCATTTTCTGGTTGACCCTTGAAAAGTTACCACTCCCGTTGTCTGCTGTTTTGTTTTGCATCTGGTTTGTCCTGCTTTGGAAGTCGCTGCTAGGGAGGTCTGATGGGTTTATAGGTCAATTTGAGAAGCGGGGAGGGGGAGTCCTCTCAATTTGTTGCAAAAAGAAGGCTACATATGCAAAGGGAAATGCCAGTTATCCAAAAACTCTGGAGGATGTTCCATAATCATAAGAAGTTTCAAGGGAGATTAACGTAATTTACTTTCAGAGCAATTAACCAATATCTCTATCTATCTATCGTGCATCTGCTATTTCGGAAAATGTTGTGGAATAGATAATTAATCTCATAATATTCAGTTAAACACCTGATGGCAGAAACCTTTTACCTTTTCTAGAGTATATCTTTTTGTAAGCATAGGTCATTAACTTTTTCGACTCATAATTATTGGAGCACGGACTGCACTAGATCTGAAGGCTAGCCAGGATCTAGCAAGTAAAACACTGGGAAAAAGGTAAGCTACATTAGGTCCCTGGCAGTGAAAAATTCAAGTCAATCCACTTCTACCCCCATGCTATCGTATCGTATATATAGTGGTGTCTATTCAATTTTTCATGCAATGATTATAGTTTCATGCAACGGGGCAAGCTAAAGTCAAAAAAATTGGAATATTTTACTCTTTTGGCTTGTTAGGGAGGCACGGGGCCAACTGCCACCGCGTTCGACCACATCAACTGCTTCCCTGCCCAAACAACAAAAAATTGTGAGTTTCGTTAATATTTATTAGTGATGAGACTGTTGGAGATTTTTTCTGTATCATCTTTTGTTTCTTGTTCTTCACAAGTATACAGTATCCTCTATCAGATTGTGCTTCTTCCTTCTCCACGGAGCACCAATATATCTTGGTCTTGAGCCCACAACCTTGAAACGCATGAGAAACTCAGTTTTTGGAAAAAAAAATAAAATAAAATTTGCTAACTCATACGGGGCCTCTGAAAATAAAGGCTGCTTTCCACCAAAAAGAAATTGCCTGCTCTCAGGGTGACAAAGAATCAGCTGTCCAGCTTGATAAAAATATGCTTGGATAAGTCAAAACCTATGCTATATTTTTGTCATTTCGGTTTCTAGAAACTCCAGTACCAGCTAGTAAGGCCTTTATCCGGGGGAAAAACTATTAAAAAGCCAGTATCGTCCCCGCAGTTATCGTCCTGGTAATTGCGGCAAATGCCACGGTCAGTTTCGTACTCTCATGACATCAAGAGTCTACTTCGGAATTGTGCAAAGGAGACAAATATCAATAGATACGACTCTTGAAAGCTCGGGATTTTGAACATTTGTAGAATAGTGTTTGATGACCACCTCCTGAATTAGCTTCAGCAACTCCAACAAATTTCAGGACATGTTGCAATTTGCCAGCCTTGATTGCTGGTGCCAAGCCTCCAGGTGAGGGATGAAATTGGAACACAGTTTATTCCAGGACTGAATCTGATTGATAGGTATGTGGACGTCAGAACAAATTTATCACCAGGGATAAGTAACAGGGGAAATGATGATTGGGATGCCATCTGAAGTATTCTTGAGCACCTTTGCATAATATATTTAGGCGTGCAACTATGTATAGTTTACTCCGCTCCTTAGCCCGAGTCTGCCACCAGTTGTGTCGTTAATTAGTGCCCTCAGCCACGATGAAGAAAAGCAACTTGGACCAAAAAAGAAGTGAGCACAACATCGTCGATCTTTGTGCTGATCATTCGGCAAGAAATTGGCTGAGAGAGTGAAGAAGGCAAGGCAAGAGACTAGGATTGTGCTCGAATTAAGTTGTCACATTGTTGGGATGTTGATATATTCTTGTATTTGTTTGTGATGAAGTATGAGAAGGGGTTGCTTTAATTTATGGGCCTCGATTGGATCTGAGAGTGGAATTTATGGTTGGAAATGGTCAGCGGAAAATTTTTTTCTGGGACTCCTCAAAGTTTCGGCTGCAGTAAGCTAATTTTCCAGATGCCTTCAAACATGGAAATATTTTAAAAATTGATAGAGGGCACTTTGCAACTCACCCCCAAAGTTCGTGGAGGTTCAATGCAATTAATCCTAAATTTTTTAATAATGTGACAAAGAAAAAGCATCATTATTATGTTTTGTGGTAATCACAACTCAAGAGCAGCAATAAAGTAATGCGTCTATTTTAATATTTAGACAAGTGCAATTTCAATAAGAGCAACCCCTCAATTGATTTATCCTTGTAATGGTTACAGATTGTACATTGCTAAAGTTGAGAAATTTTATCATGGCTCGGACCAACTGCTGGCTAGTCTCTGACCAATGAAATGCCATCAACTGGTCAAATAAATACCCCTTACAATCTTTACTTGAATTTTATGTAACGTGAAAATAATGGATTCACGAATCGCATATAAAGTATTTTTAGTGGTCAAAAGTCAAGCATTAAATTAGTGAAATAGTTGGTCTGAACCATGAGAAAATTTTTAGTTAAATTTAAGGGTGTGTGTCCACAATAAAAACTCTTAAATTGGGATCCACCTCTTTAAATAGCATATGTTTTCACTCAAAAAAAAAAATTATAGTTTTGCGTGAAAAGTAATAATGCACCCACTTTTATTAGAACCTATTACTTGTAAAGAGAGATTGTTTGTGATTTAGTAAAAGTTGAAGGAAGTATTTGTAATCAGACCAAACCTCAAGGGTGATCCGTGCAATTTATTGTTTTAACTGTTGGGTTACCCGCTTCAAAATTCAAATGTGTATTCCCACAGGAATCCAAGTCCGCAACCATTAAGCATTATTGGTTCCTAGTACCAAAAAAGTTCCCCACGCTAAACAGTTTGATGGTTTTAAGGATCATTAAGCGTCGATTGAAGTTTGGCTATTCTAGTACGTTGCTTCTGTTAATGAAGACGTCTTGAAGGTAGACCATTCCATGCTTTGGTGGTTGCCCCAAAGATTTTCCTGTTTCTTTGGCATACAATTCCCCTGCTCTTGTCCTATTGTCTTCCTTCACGTGAAAGGGTACTCTCAGCCTTGTTCGTGTACTTCAATGCTTACTGATTTTGCCCTTTTTTTTTTTTTTTTTTTTTGTGGGAGGCTGATAGCAAAAGAAACAGCTAATTGTGTATAGGGTGGCATTGCATTCCATGGAGAAAATTGCGAAAAATGAACCAACACAGTCGAGCGAGAAGGTGAAAGCAAGCTTCTCTCCCCTTTTCCTTTGAGATTGTTTATTTTTTGAGTCTGTCGTATTTGCCACACTGCTGCATCTTTGAGCTTATCGCTCATCTCTTTTTAGGTTTTCCATTGAAAATCAATGCATGAAAGATGAAGTGTTCGTTCTCCTTTGTTGCCATTTATCAAGTATTTCTTTGGAATGTGAAATCACGTCTTCTTTCGCTTCTTCTAGAGCTACATCGAATATTGGGCATATTACTTATCAAGTTTGCACCTGAGTGTATTTGCACATAAATATCTGATCAAACTCGTATTTCTTGCTGTTCATTGGGTCCTAGATTAAGCTTAACTTTCTTTATCTACACAACTTTTAATTGTTCAAAGTTTTGGAAATATTATTGCTTTTCAGGATTGGATTAATCAGTTGCCCGAAGAAATTCTGAGAAACACATTGTCACTCATGGTGATGAAAGAGGCAGCAAGGACATGTATCCTTTCTCGTAGGCAGAGGAACCT